ATGTACCCAGACTGGGAATCAAACCAGCGACCTTTCAGTTGGCAGACTGGTGTTCAGTCCACTGAGGCACACCAGCCAGGGCTGTATTTTCAGTATTTTAAATCCTCTCTCCCTCTCTCCTGAGTGTTTCTTCTCTCTCTCCAAACACACACCAATCTCAAAAAATAAATATATGTAATTTTAAGATCTTTCCTTAGATCTTCTACATCCCCACAAATGTCAGCTATTTCCATTTTCTCACCGAACTTCTTAAAAGAATAGACTGTTTTCTCTCCTCCTTTTCTAGTCTTCTACCCACTGGTAAGCCCATTCCAATGCCCAATTAAGAGTGGGCTCTTAGCCTTGGCTGGTGTGGCTCAATGGATTGGGTGCCTGCCTGAGAACCAGAGTCGCCAGTTTGACTCCCAGTCTAGGGCACATACCTGGGTTGTGAGAAGCAATAACACATTGATGTTTCTTTCCCTCCTTTCCCTTCTCTAAAAATAAATTAAAGGAAAAAAAAGAGTGGGCTCCTAAAGGCCACGATGCCTACACGTGAGGCTTCGTCTTGTTCTCATCCAACCTGATGTAACCTCCCTTGTGAAATGCATGTGTTCGTGCTTTCCTAGCCCCACCCTTTCCTTTTCCTCCTCCTTCCTTCTGAGTGTGGGGTTCCCTAGGATTATGTTGACCTAGGTTTTTTTTTTTCCCCTCATTCAGCACACTCTCCAGGGAGCACTTACTTATGCACATTGGCTTCGACAGTCCCATTGTAGATGAACCACAAATATTGTTTAATTCTGGTTTTCCCTCCCTAAATCCAATCCAGCAGTTTTGAGCTGACTTGTCAAAGTGCTGATTTGGGTGTCTTGTGACTCCACTACTGAAGCCCAGCTCGTTCAAAGCTGAGGACATCTTCTTCTCTTTCGCATCATTTATATCACTCCCTATATATACTAGCCTAAAATTCTGACTCCTCCAACTCCTGTATTTCTTACCGTAAAGCCAAATCCAATTAACCCTTGAAATGTCTCTGAAATAACTCATCTTTTTTTGATTCTTATCAAACTATTCTTTGTGAAGTGTTTTTTTTTTTTTTTTTTTTTTTTTACTGGACTGTTATAATAGTTTTTCAAGTGGTCTTCCTGATACCACTCTTTAAATAAACATGATTTTTCATATTTCTCTACAAACAGATTTTGTCTGATTAAAAACTACTTATTCCTTCCCATTGTTGGCAGAATAAATTCAAAATTCTTTAAACAATTTTTTTCAGCTTTTTGATGATAATTGACAAAATTGTAAGATTACTTAAAGTATACAACATGATGACTTGATTATATGTATACATTGAAATTCATAATTCTTTATCATGACATTCAAAACCCATTACGATCTTGAACTCTTTATAATTCATCTCCAAACTCTCTTCTGCATTCTATCAGTAAAATCCTTCTAGATAAAAGTCCAGCCCAAATATCCCCTTCCCTATGCTCCAGACAGAATTAAGCTACCTTTGTTTACATTCATAGCTTATATATTTCAAGTCCTTCTTAGATTCACCATCATCACACTAAATTGTAATGATGCTTCCGTTTCTCCTAAAAGATTATAAGCTCCATCAGGGTTATTAATTACCTCTAGTTGCATAACATATGACAACAGAATTTAGCGACTTAAACCAGCAAACACTGACTATCTCACCATTGCTCTGTGTCAGGAATTTGGGAGTGGCCTACCTGGCTAGTTCTGGCTCAGGGTCTCTCATCGCTTTGGAACCAAGAGGTCAGTTGGGTCTGCAATCATCTGAAGGCTTGACTGGAGCTGGAGGATCGGCTACCAAGATAGCTCACTCACACACCTGGCAATTTAGTGCTGGTTGTTGGTGGGAGGCCCTTGTTCCATGCCATCAGGATGTCTTCATTAAGCTGCTTGAGTATCCTTACAACATGGCAGCTGGCTTCCCCAGAGCAAGTGATCCAAGATAAGAGAAAGGAGAAAACCCAAAATGCCTTTTATGACCTAGTCTTGGAAATTATTACATATTCTATTTGTTAGCAGTGAGCTACAAAGTCCAGGCCACATTCAAGGGGGTGGGGGGATTATTTGCCACCCCTTGAAGGGAGGAGTATCAAACAGCTTGAGGACAGTTTTTAAAACTATCACACGGTTGTCTAATCTTTCTGTTTCTGGTAACTAGCACAGTGTCTGGCACTTAGTAGGTACTCAATAACTGTTTCTAATACAATGACATATTAGAGGGGGAAGCACTGAAGGAAGGGCATCCATGGGTTACAAGTGTGGGCCAGGTGAAGAATGGTGGAGGTGGGAGATGGTGGGAGATACTCTGAGGTAAAATTCACAGGCTCCATGACTGATCGGATGAGAGGGGTTGAGAAGAGATCCATTTGGGTTGAAGATGGTTTTAAAACTAAGACTTAGAGGTAGTTGTGATGGCTGAAGTAGGCATTTAATACTTCTCCCACAGGGTTTCAAGGTAGTGAAATATCAAACCATGTATCTGAGAACACTATGTCTAATTGCTCAATTATACCCGAAAGAGCCCAGGACTGGCGGTCAGCAATACAAGCACAGATTAAGGTATTCCCTTTACTTCAGGTTTCCCATTTATAATACCTATCTCAGGACATTTAGCCTAAAGTCATTGTTCAGAGGTCAATAACATCCCATTTTGTGCAAAAAAATTCCCACCACAACATCTTTTACACATGGTCTTGTGGAAACAGTGGGTAGCTATTAGGTTGAATTGTCTGAAATGCTGGTATTCCAGTTTTCATCGATAATGAAACCAATTTCATAAGGTTCAACCTAATCGATGTGGCTGCAGTTTGAAAATTTGAATACTGAGGAATGGAATGGAAAAATAAAGTGGAGTCACTATAGTTAAGCTGCTAAATTACTAAAATGAAGTACATTGACGTATGAGAAAAGGATTTTATTCTTATTTAAACTAGCCTGGGAACTTAAACTTTTGATCATTCCAGTCCTGCACCAGCGCCTGGATTATACATCAAACCTGGAGAACTACGGAAACAATATTCACATATCCAGCCCATTTGACATTCATTATCCAGCCCACCTATCATCCAGAGGATTACCATCTTGGACTATAATCAGAGGCTAATGCAGGCCTGATTCATCTCAAGAATGTACTTTTTCCTCTTAAGAACCCTCAGCTTTTCTTTCTTCTTGGAGAACATTCTAGGTATTGCCCAGTTGTGCTTCTGGTTTGCAAACCCTAAGACCCTGAATAAATCTTTATCATTTATTTCTAGCCAAAGCCCCGATTCATTTAAGCTCAGCTGAAAACACCTATTCATAGGTGGAAAATTGAGATGCTCCAGAGTTCTTGATCTTTCTATTTCTGATAACACTAAGGTCCAACTTTAAGAAAGGTCAGTTTGTTTTTATTAAGATTTTATTTACTTTTAGAGAAGGGAGAAGGGAGGGAGAACAAGGAGAGAAACATCAATGTATATTGCCTCTCATAGGACCCCATTTGGGGACCTCAACCCAGGCATGTGCCCTGACTGGGAATTGAACCAATGACCCTTTGGTTCACAGGCCAGCACTCATCCCAAGTCAGGCTAAGTCAGGCTAAGAAAGGTCAGTCCTGAAGATAAATGAAGGTTAGTCTAATTCGCCGGTATCACATTCCCATTTCCTTAAGTTATTTAAAGGAATTACAGACCAAAGACTGCTAAATACTAGGGTCAAGAAACTTTAAGATGTGAAATTTATCTAGGAACCCTAGATAAGTCTAGTGTCAATCACATTTCGTACTGTGTCATTTTTAAGAAATCATATTTACTTAGAAGTGAAATAACTATAGACCTAATAATAAAGAATGAATAAGAATAGTTTTTTCCTGACAACTAAAAAGTAATCAGTTGACTCCATTACTGGTGGAAGTCAATGATTTGTCAATATAAATTAATTTATTAAAAATGCCACTTGTGCTTTCCAAGATTACTTTTAAAACTGAGTATTAGCCCTGGGCGGGTAGCTACGTTGTTTAGAGCATTCTCCTCATATGTCAAGGTTGCAGGTTCCATCTCTGGTCAGGCAGGGCACATACAAGAAGCAAACAATGCATGCATAAATAAGTGGAACAACACAAATCAATCTCTCTCAAATCAGTAAAAAAATAAAAAAAATACAACTTATTTGACTCTCAATGAGGAAGTTCTTCTGTGTTTATTCTTCCATTTCTACATATCAATTGATACTGAAGGTAGACTTTGGGTAAGACGTGTAAAATGGATTTACACTAGCGCACCGGTTTCAGAAGAGCGAGCAACAATGTACACATCCATTCCCCGCCCCCATCCCCCAATTTGGAACCAAGGCTCCCCAAGGGCAAGGTCTTGTTTGTTTGTTTGCTGCATAATCCCAGCATTATGAACCATGCCTAACCCACTGCAAGCTCTCAATAAATACTTCATCAACCGTCCTCGCAGTGTGCGGTGGTCAGCTAGAAGGCCAGAGTGCAGCTTCCTCCCTCCACTGAACCTGCGCAGCTCTCAGCGCCCCAAGGCCACATCTTGCACCCCAGGGAATATCCGGCAGCCCGCGGCTGCCCGGGCCTTCCTTTTCCGCGGAGGAAGGAGCAGGCATCGGGAGTGGGAAACCCGGGCCCACTTCCTGTCCGGGAAGGACAGGACCGGGCGTCCGCATCCCTCGCGGCCTACTCGGTCCGCGCCCGGAGCGGCCGAGCTGCCACACTAAGAATGCGGCCGGGTGCGGCGGGAGCGCGCTGCAACTGGGCCCGGGTCGAGGGGGCAACAGGAGCGACGGGAGCTGGGAGTGAGGGGGACGTTGGCCGCGCCCGCCGGCTCCGCCTCCGAGGCTTGCACGGCAGCGAGGGGGTTAAGTGCATGGGAGGCGGGGCCGGATCGAGCCGGCGCGCCGAGTGCGGGCAGCTAGTGGGGAGGGGGCTGCGGCCGGGGGCGGTTCCGGGCGGCGGGGGCGGGGGCGGGGGCGGTCGGAGGAAGGGGGCGGGCCCCGAAGTTGTTGGGCGCTAGGCCGGCTGGCGGGAGGGCGAGCGGGCTGCGGGCCGGCGGGCGGACCGGGCCGGGGCTGGAGAAGTTTGCGCGGCGGCTTGTGAGCGCAGGGTGCGGGCCCGGCCGGCCGCTGCGCGCCCGCTGCCATGGCTTTCCGCAGGAGGACGAAAAGTTACCCACTCTTCAGCCAGGAGTTCGTCATCCACAACCATGCGGACATCGGCTTCTGCCTGGTGCTCTGCGTCCTCATAGGGCTTATGTTCGAGGTGAGCGAGATCCGGGAGGGGGTACCCTTTCTCGTGCGCCGCCCGACGGACCCCTGTCCGTCCCTGGGGTCCTCGTTTGAGCTGGGGCACCGGGCTGCCATGTACGTTATCTGCACCCCGGCTTTGTACACTGTACCCGCCTTAGTCTCCAAGTCAGCCCAGACACCCCCCCCCCCCGCCCCCAGCTCCGCTCCTTGCCAGCCGTGCCCAGCTCAGCAGCCCCCTTGGGCACCCACCATATCCTGCAGCTCTCTCTGCAGCCCTGAATCCTAAGCCTGGCCTCGAACCAACCGCAGTGCTTCCACCCTGGCCCGAACACTGGGGTTTCCTTTCTAGTGTCCGGGAGCCAAGCCCGGAGACTCCCAGACCCGGAGTCATTGCACAACTATCTCCCTCTCCCAAGCGGTGGCACCTCTTCTGGGCTGTTCCAGCGGGAGGGACCCCGACCCTTTTCCAGCTCCCATCTGATTTTCTGGGCCTCATCCCAGCAGTGTCCTCCCGCCCACTCCCCCTTTTTGCCCTTGTCTAAGGGCCAGTTTTCATGTTACCCATTATCACTCTGGTTTATTCCATTAGCTCCATCTGTGGTGGACCCAGAGCTTCTCCCCGTTACAGGGCCAAGGAGAGGGACGGGATATCCTGTGCTTTTAGGGGCCAGTTGATTCTCTGGTACCTGTGGGAGTAGTGGGGAGAGAATGGGGTCCTGCCACTTCCCCTTCCCTGCCTCCCCAGCACTGCGCTGGTGCGGGCCTTACGGAGCACGGACTTGTAGTAAGCCCCGCTGGTCAGGATCTGATGGGAAGGACTCTCTACACCTAAGAGAGATCAAGAAAAATGTGATATGCAAAAGTTAGAAGAACTGGAGGTAAGTGAGCATAATAGGGCTTGCTGTGGTATATCTTGGCTGGAGTGAGATAGTGACACTCCTCTCACTCTCAGTGTGGTCTCCAATGAGGCAGCTCCTTGTCCTCCATTCTGGGTAGGATTGCTTATCTGTATTCTCAGGAATGGGTTAGGAAGCTATAACCATTTGTGAACTTCCTTGAAGATGGAGGATTCTAGCGGGGCTAATTTCTCCTTCTGTGTTTCTCTGTCTCTGTGCTCGTCCTCTCCTCTCTAAGGATGACAAGGGTCCTAATTGGCTCTTGAAGCTCTCCTCAAGCTGGGGACATTTTTGTGATGGCTGAGTCTCGGTTAGATGTGTGAATGTGCTCTTGTCTGGGCTTCAGGGTCTGTAGGAAATACACCTGAGACTAGGACTGGGGTCTGCACACCAGCTTTTGGTAGTTCTTCTTTACTTCTGTCCTTCCCTTCTTCCTCCCACCCCTACAGCTCTCATGGTATATTGGAAAGGGCTTTAGCTAGGGTCGTCTCTATGTCCCAGTCCCTGCTTTGTCACTAGACTGATTAAAACAAACAAAATACAACTGACTGCAACCTCACTTTCCCCATCATTGAAGAGGTTAGTAAAACCCATCTTCCGCATGGGGTTAGTGTAAGGGTTGAGATCTTATAAGAAACAAAAGCCATAGTAGATGGCTTTTCTACTTTCTACAAAAGTGAAAAGAAGTCAGTTGTTCCTGTTATTATTTAACATAATAATAGCTTAATGAAATAAGAGAACCAATATCCTCTGTCCTATTTGTGTCTATTTGTCGTCCTCCATTCTAAGAGGCCTCCCAGTGCCATGTCACCAGTCTTGGAGGGTGTGGTTGGAAAGACACACGTGACAGCTGTAGCCCTCATAGCCCCACGCTGCAGCCAGCGAAGTCTCTTGCATAGGCTCATGGCTCTCTTGGCTGGGTTTCTGGCATTTGTTAAGGTTTGTGGCTCTACCTGCTTTCTTGGCTCAAAAGGAGCTGCCCAGTGTTTGAGCTTAGTACCTTCTGTTCTCCCTGCCTCTAGTCTTGGAAAGTCCTATGTATTCAACCTGGCACTCTGTGGGAGTTGAAAAGTACTAGGAGCCCTTAACTCCCAGCACCTGACAGAAGAGGGAGAAAAAACCCCCTCCTTTTCTCTTCTTCAGATTGGACTGGGGAACATGGAAGGGACATTGGCTGAAGTGCCTGCAAGGCTTCCTACCGCCCTCACCCTATAGAAACTTAGACCTCCACCTCTGAGCTTGCAGGGCTGGAGTCTCCCTCTCTGGGAGGTGCATAGAAGGTGCATTGTGGGATTGCTGTTGTGTGCTGGTCTGGGAGAAGGGGGGCTGTGTTGAACCTCCCTTATGGAGGATGCGTGTTCTGCTGTGCTAGGTACAGAGGAGATCTTCATCATCTATACCTACCAACTGACTCTCTGCAGAGATAGGTATTTTGGGGGAACTGAGATTTTTAGAACTTTGCTGTTCCTACTAGCCGAGAGCAGAAACAGCTCTGTTACTTTTAGGGACCTCAGAGAAGCACATGTGGGCATCTTCACGTTTGGAGTAAAGCTGGGGGTGGCACCTCATAACCCAGCCCAGAACTTAGTAGATATCACTTAGGGTCCTCTGGGTTGTGCCCTGGAGGTGTGGTGTGTCTGTGTCTGTATGTAGGGATACGTATGGGAGGCAGTCCTGCACTTAACACTTTATCCTAGAAGTATGGAGAGGAGGTGGGAAGGGAAGGGGAAGACAGAGAGGGAGAGGGAGAGGACAGCAGGCTCTTGGATTTCTAACTTGGGCATGGCTAGGATTCTTTCATTCAGAAGGCGAGTCAAGGAAACCCATTTATAATTCTTCCCACAGAAAGTCTACTGGTCACTCCTCTTTCTGGGGTCCCCTGCCCAGTCTCTGCCAGTTAGCTGGGCCCCTCTCCCCACCCCAGGCAGCCCCAGCCCATGTGTCCTAACTGGTCTCCACCTCATTCTGGCCTTGCCCTTTCCCCAACTTACTACTCATCAGCTCGCCATCATTCAGAGCGGATTCATTCCCCACTGAGGGACCCCAGGACTTCAGTTCTGTTCCCTGGAGATGATGACGACTCCAAATTCCTTCCCTTGGGATCACTTCCTATTGGGAATAGACATGAAAGGGTGACTCTCCCTCCTCCTTTTGACTTAGTTTTGGGCCATCCTGAGATTCCTTCTCTCATTTCCAAGGCAGGTTCTTTTCCCCAGAACTCAGGTTTTCTCTCTGTCCTGCATGCTGTTTGGAATAGAGCTGTTCTGTGCAGCCACAGCACTTGGCTAAAAAATGTCAGGAATGTGGAGCTTTATTTTCCCCCTCCTTCCCTTCCAGCTTTCTCTTTCTTAACTCTGCTTTCCGGAGAGATGGGGAGTTTTCCACGCAACAGTTTGGCCCTTCAGTCTATCTTAGGGGGGTCCGGCCTGACAGTCCTTCAGGGTGTGGGCAGCCACTGGGGGTGTGTATGTGTGTGTCAGATTTAAAGCAGCCTCTGGCCCCAACCCCTCTGCAGTCACTTTCCAGTGTCCCTTTCAGTGCCACGTTTCAAACTAAGACGGGCAGAGAAGGACAGAAACTCTCATCAGTGAATGGAGACTGACAAAGGGGTGGGGTACAACTTATACATTAGCTCTAAAATGTCATTTTAAGACAGAAACTTTGCTTGTTTGTTTTAAAGCTCATTTGTGGGCTCTGCTGACCCTGCAGCAAGGAAACGTTTCTAAAATTCTGGGCCCTCATTTGTTTGGTCTGTGATGACTTAAGAGTTTGGGACTTAGAAGAATTTTTGGGTAGTGGCTGGTGTTTGGTTTTTGTTTCGAAGCCAGGTGTGGTAGAGTTCCCTTTCTCCAGGAACTGTCTTCTTCTCTGTGTCTGAGACTGTGGGTGATGTATTTGCAGCATGTACAGTGGGAGCCCATTGCGTCACGCCTGTTAGCACGTGGGTGCTGTGGCACTGGTTCCCATCCTCCCAGACGTACCTCTGGTCATCATAACCTGAAGTGAGACTGTTGGTCCTATCTCTTAATATCAGTGTTGCAAAATAGTCCCATTTATATAGTGGTAATACAAAAAGGTATGTATATGGTACCGATAAGCATCTGTGCACATATGTTGTCCTTCACTAACTTCTAATGCACTTTTAAAGACATTCCTTTACCAGTTTTATATTTCCTGGCTTTATGCATCTTTCTGTCCACCTCTGATGTAGTCTATCAGTAATGTTCTAGAAAATTAGTCAGGGGAAGCTGGGAAGGGTTGCAAATCCTCTTGCGTGCCCTTGTTCTGTGGTTAGATTTCTACATGCATCACTCAGTGATCTGAGCAACAGAGCAGAACTTTGGGACTAGTCTCTCCTGGCCCACCCTCAGGCGTCACCCTGTGTGTGGGATGTAAGGCACATGGATGATCCCAATTTCTTCCCTTGGGAAAGTGTGATACCCAGAAAGGTGGTGTTAATCAGTCACTGAGGTTTTGATCTCCACTGCCAGATGAAGAAACCTGTCTAAATGCCCTGCACTGTGCCTGGCACACTGACACTTACTTGATGGTCTCAGTGACCATGCTGATGGTGATTGTTTGGCTTCATTGTTGGGTCTGTGCTACACCTTCTACCGTCACACCAGCTGCTTGGGGCCTCTGGCTGTATTTCATTTTGGATGTGACCTGCTTTGGCATGAGACCATTCCCTGAAGTCCTCCAGTGCTAGCTGTCCGCTTTCCAAAGCGTGCGAGTGTTACACACTGAGTCCCTCTTTCCCCCAGCGAGTCTGTGGTGTGGCTGCTCCACATCTGTTTTCTCTGCCATCTGTCTTATTAGAACACAGGCTGTGGATACCGGAGGGTCTTAGTGTTGCCACCGTCAGCTGTGGGAAGGACCCATGAGGAGGCTGCTTCGCAAGCTAAATAAGGGCCACTTTTTTCTTGCTTCCTCTGTTGTCTGAACTGAACCCTCAGTTGCCGTTTCTCAGGGGCACTGTCCAGACCAGTCGCAACAGAGCGCCTCAGTCCTGGCTGTTTGTAGAGTAACGTGTGTTGCTATGGTGAAAACTTCACTCCTGCAGGCATGAGCTCTGTTTTGATCTGCTTCGTTGTGGGCAGGGGCCCCAGAAATCACT